TTCAATCGATACCACCTTATATGTATTCGCCTTAATTCCAACAATGTTTTTACTCAAATGTCAGTAATTCTTATCACTTCAAGATAGAATGATTAATTATTGATTTTCATTATTTAAAATTTTTTATTTAACAATAAACAAAAAGTGCATTTTTTTTTTTTTAATTTAATTTCTCAAAAAGTGTTTTGTTTTTCTCTCAAACTTTTTTACCGAGAAAGAGACACTTTGAACTACAATCAACCCAAATCTCTAATAGCGAAGATTTTTTTTCTGAGCTATGATTTTTTATGGAAAATATACGTTTTTGTGGTACATACTAAAATATTCTTATATTGTTTAACTAAATGGAACATATGTATGTAATATATCAGCAAAAAGTACAGCCGTGATCACTTTTTGTGTATCAAATAGATATTATAACACACTTTCCACCATACAGTTTCGATTATAAAAAGCGGGAAAATGTGATTTTGTATTTCGAAACTGTATGGTGGAAAGTGTGTTCTAATATCTATTTGATACACAAAAAATGATCACGGCTGTACTTTAAAAAAAATCATGCTCGTACCTGACCGGTTGTCTGGAAATGGAAAGCATCCTGTAACATTTTTAAGGAAACCGGCCGCTGTAGTTTAGTGGTAAGCAGTGCGCACTGCCACTCCGCAGCGCCTGGATTCAAGCCCTGGTCAAAGCAAATAGCAAAAAACATGTAAAGAAGTATATGTTCAGGCGAAACCGAACTTTATATACCCGGCGCAGGAATCAGATATCGTCGTTTAAACTTTTCCTGAACTACCATTGCATGATAAGTAGGGATGTTTACCCGATTTCAAACGTTTACGATAATATGCAGAGTTAGACCCAATGATATAATTGAACCTAGTTAGGTACAAATCGATTAAGTGGTTACCGAGGTACACCTTTGTAGCTATAAAGTGGGCGATGTTACGCCCAATTCTGTAATGGATGAGATGTGTAATTTAACTGATTCGAAAGAATTCTCAACGAGTGAAAAAAATTATTTTATATGACAATATGAATATCGTTCAGGCAAATACATAAGATCGTTTTCATCATGATACAAAAAAGAAGGTAGTTTCAATAAACAACTTTTGACGGATAATAAAATTTTTTGAAGTTTCATAATTTGTGAGTATTATCAACGGCCTTGCCACTTTGATGATATTAAAACAAAAAATCGGAGTATTTTCTTTCCCATATTTATACTAATGTAATAACATTTCAAATCAAAAACCATTATCAGTACTTGGTACTGTTAAAGGAGACTTCATCGTAATGGTTCTTTTCATTTTGTAATAAAAACCACGCGCGCATTTTTCTGTTTTTTTTTTTAATGCAATCTTGCGATTTAAAAATCAAATTCTAAAGAATGTTCTTCCCAAATAAAACCTTTTTATATTTAGGTTCAAGTTTGCTTTTAAATTTCTCATCAGATTTTGCAAAAAATTAGGCTTTTAGCATCATTAAATTTCACAAATTTTCAATTTATGCAAAACACCTGAAGTCGGCTTGAACAGACCGCCCTCCGATAAACAGCTAACAGATCGTCGTTTAAAGTACAAAACCGTGTATCAACAAAATGCACAACTGCGTATGTGAGGTTGCATAAATTATTTAGAAGAGAGTAAAAAACACTCACATTTCAAAATGGTTCTCTTTTTTACAAAGAAATCCCATTTCAGGACGAATGGATAAGGGTTGAGCCAAGAGCTTGTGTGAGCAAATCCAATTTTTTGAAAAAAAAATGTCAGTTACGCGGTTTTGCAGTTACACTTTCTTCATGCGTTCTGAAACCTAGTCGTCAACCCCATTTGCGAAATCATTTAGCCGGCATAATTTTCTAGTTCATCATATTCCACATCTTTGAATGTACTGATAAAATATTCTGCTTAAAAAAATATATTTCTTCTAGTAATCAGGTAGCATGAATTTGATGAAATGTCATAATTTTATTAAAAGTCAAATGGTTAGCAACAACAACGAATGTCATTAAATGAAACTACCTTCTTTTTTTGTATCATGGTTTTCATTATTATACAAGCAAGTTATTTTTGAACAGGTATATAAAAATAACTTCGACAAATTCCTAAAAGTCTAGAGCAGTCTTATTTATTGTTAGGAGATTGTTGTAACTATTAACTTGGAGTAAATTAGCGTCCTCATTGAAATATCAGTGCACAGAGTGTAGTAGAAATTGATAAATCGGTTACCGAGATACACATTTGTGGTCATAAATGGGCGGCGCCCTGCCCATTATCCAAAAATTTATAATATTCTAATTTTAAATATGCTAAGTGGTTATTGCAATCTTCAACAATCCGACATAAGCGAGCAGTGGAACCGAATTTCCCGATCATTAAGTACCGCCGTCGAAGAAGTAGTTGGATTTCAGCAAGCCCGAAAGAACAACTGGTACGATGAGGAATGTCAAGAAGCCGCAGAAAAAAAAAGACGCCGCCTAAAGGGTCACGCTGCGATCGGGTGTAACGCGAGCCATGGAAACTGAAGAAGGCAGAGAGACGTATTTGCCGCAATAAGAGAGAGGCCGAAATACGTCAGTGCTTGAGCTTGAAATGCTAGCCGACAGGAAAAACGCCCGAAAATTTTACCAGAGGTTTAGGTGACTTACGGAAGGTTTCAAGACCAGGGCAAACTCCTGTGAGAGCAACAATGGTGACCTAGTGAACGATGTCCAGAATGCACTTAAATTATGGAGGGAACACTTTTCCACCCTACTGAATGAAATGAGTGGACAAAACGAACCCGAGCCCCCAGTCGATGACGATGAAGTCGATGTTCCACCACCTAACTATGACTAGGTACAAATAACGATAGCGTGCTTGAAAAATAACAAAGCTGCTGGAGCTGACAACCTGCCAGCTGAGCTATTAAAGTACGGTGGCGAGGAGTTGATAAGGTGCATGCATCAACTCTTACGCAGAATATCGTCAGATGAACGCACGCCCAACGACTGTAATTTAAGTGTGCTCTGCCCAATCCACAAAAAGGCGATCCCGCCATTCGCACCAACTCTCGCGGAATCAGCCTTCTAAGCATATACGCCAAATCTTGGAAAAGACCCGAGAGAATAAGATCGACACACACCATCTATTTGTCGATTTCAAAGCCGCTTTCGACAGCACGAAGACAAGTTGTCTTTATGCCGCGGTGTCTGAATTTGTTATCACCGCGAAACTAATAGATTTGTAAAATGACGTTGAGCAATACCACCAGCTCCATCAGAATAGGGAAGGACCTCTCCGAGCCGTTTGATACCAAACGAGGTTTCAGACAAGGCGACCCCCTCTCGTGTGATTTCTTTAATCTGATATTGGAGAAGATAATAAGAGCCACAGAACTGAACCGCTCAGGCACAATACTTTAAAAGAGCGTAGAATTGCTGGAGTATGCCGACGACATCGATGGTATCGGTAAAAACAAGGGATACGTATGTTCTGCCTTCTGGGGATTTGATAGAGACAAAGCGAATGGGTCTGGTGGTGAACGAGGACAAAACGAAGTATCTCCTGTCATCACACAAACAGTCAGAGCATACACGTCTTGGCACCCACATCACTGTTGACAGTTACAAGTTTGAAAATGTAGATTACTTCATTTATTTGGGAACCAGCATTAACTCCATTAATATTGTCAGCCTTGAAATCCAACGGAGAATCACTCTTGCCAACAAGTTCTACTTTGGACTGAGTAGGCAATTGAGAAGTAAAGTCCTCTATCGTCGTACAAAGATCACACTCTATAAGTCATTCGTCATGTCTGTGCTGGTGTATCGCGCGGAGGCATGAACAATGAAAACATCTGACGAAGCGGCTTTTGGGGTTTTCGAGAGAAAGATTGTGCACCTTTACGCGTTGGCGATGGCGAATACCGCAGACGATTTAACGATGAGCTGTATGACCTTTACAACGACATAGACATAGTGCAGCGAATTAAAATTCAGCGGCTTCACTGGCTTGGCCATGTCGTTCGAATGGACAGAAACGCTTCTGCTCTGAAAGCATTCAATGCCGGCCGCGATGCTCATAACAGAGGAACGCCTCTTCTGCGTTGGAAAGACCAAATTTTTTGCCATGGGAGCATGACCCACCGGCAAGTCTGCTCCGTATACTACTGGTCCGCGCCGGCATAGAACAAAATCCCGGGCCCTGGATCTGTAGTGTTTGCCACCGCCACATACACCACTCCTCAACCTCTGTCCGCTGCAACCGCTGCAACGCCTGGTGCCATCTAAAGGCATGCTCAGGTCTTCGGCACCACAGGGAGTGGAGTAACAATTTTGTTGCATCGTGCTGCAACAACCAACAAACCTGTAACTCCACACAGCCAACACCCGCCCAACCATCAACCAGTGGACCAGCCACAAGCACGCAACACAGGACATCCACCCAGGACAGATGGTTCTGCAGCGTTTGCACCAACCTGATAAGGCGCAACACAACATCGGTTAGGTGCAACGCATGCAACAATTGGTGCCACCTAAAGCGCTGCTCAGGCCTAACGCACCACCGTGAATGGAGTACTGGCTTCATTGCAGCCTGTTGCCCAGCCGCACCACAACACCCCGTGCCAACGCCACCAACAACACACACGCCGACGCAAGCACCAACCCCACCACCGGTCGCGACACCTGCGGCTAACCCACCCGGTCGGGGACCAGCACGTCAGGCCCTACAGGCACCTCAGGCACAACCACCAGCACAGGCAGCGCGCCAGTACTCGCTCACCCCACGCGTAACCATCATAAGGCCACAATCCATCAAGCTGTTGCAGTTCAATTGCAACGGACTACAAAGTAAGATCGCTGAGATAGTCGGTTTCATGAGAAGGCATAAAATCTCAGTCGCGGCGATCCAGGAGACCAAACTCCACTCCGGCTCGAGCCTTCAGAGCCAGGACGAGTTCAACGTACCCCGAAGAGACCGCCCCCGTGGCGCCGGAGGCGGCATTGCCTTCATATTGCATAACGCGGTTCAATACCGGCTCATTACCCCCCGAACTGACTCCAACGATACATTCATTGAATGTCAAGGCTTGGCCATCAAGTCGGGGGATACGGAGCTGGAGATCGTCAATGTATACATACCACCCGCCACCAGTTGCTCAGCTGGATACCACCCTAACATAAGTGCGCTATTAGAGGGTGTGAACCGGGTAGTGCTAGGCGACTTCAATGCGCACCACGAACTCTGGCACTCCAATCTGGGCAATGACCAGCGGGGTACAATGCTCGCTGAGCAAATTGACGACTCCACGTTCTGCACTGTGAATGATGATGCCCCCACCAGGGTCGCGGGTGACTGCTATAGCTCGCCAGATATAACTATAGCAAGCGGGGGTCTGATAAACTGCATTGGATGGCAACCAGTGCTCACGCTCGCATCAGACCACCTGCCCATAGTAGTCGCCATAGACCAGCCAAGAGATTTTATGACATCCGAGAACCGGACATTCATGAACACACGGAAGGCGAACTGGGACGGTTTCACGGAATTCACAGATCGCAAATTCAATGCTCTTCCTCTACCATCATGCGCGCGCGTAGCAGAGCGCAATATCCGCAGAATCATCAACGCAGCAGCCGCTCGCTTCATACCAGCCGGCCGGATCGCCAAAATCCGCCCAGGATTCCCCACTGAAGCGGCGGGACTCGCAGACGAGCGTGATGGAATCCGCCAGGCTAATCCAGGGGATCCCCGTATAAGAGATCTCAATAGGGACATTAGAAACCTGGTCAACGAACACAAGCGGAACAAATGGAATGAGCATCTAAAATCCTGCAACCTCTCAAGCGGAGCCAGCAAACTGTGGTCCACAGTCAAGTCCCTCTCCAATCCGACGAAGCGTAGAGACAATGTCGCTCTCACCTTCGGCACCACCACCACGTCGGATCCGCGGTCGTGCGCGCGCTTCTTTAGCCGGCAATTCATTGCACACCCAGAGAGAGACAAAACCCGCCGCAGCGTGCTACGTAAAGCACACAAACTCCGCCCCCGAGACACACCACTGTGCTTCACCACCGAAGAGACGCAGGCAGCTGTCAACCACGCCAAGTCATCGAAGGCGTTAGGCCCAGACGGAATTTCCATGCAGATGCTGAAAAGCTAGGACCTGCGGGAGTCGAGTATATGACCGCCGCTTTCAACTTGTCACTGTCCACCCTGATCATCCCCGAGATGTGGAAAATGGGTAGGATCATTCCCCTCCTTAAGCCAGGGAAGAAGGCGGACGCAGGAGACTCGTACAGACCCATCTGCCTCCTATCCCCAGTGGCAAAAACCATGGAAGCACTACTCCTCCCCAGCCTGACGAAGCATCTGAAGCTAGCCGAACACCAACATGGATTCCGGAAAATGCACAGCACGACAACAGCATTAAACACCATTACCACACAGATTAGCGAGGGTCTGAACCAACGTCGACCCTGTGATAGGACGGTCCTAGTCGCTGTGGACCTGTCGAAGGCTTTCGACACGGTGAACCACGCGACCCTCTGCCAAGACATCCTGGACTCGTCGCTTCCAGCTCGGACGAAACGGTGGATAACCAGCTATCTGTGTGGTCGTCAGTCATCGGTCGAATTCCGAAACGCCAAGTCTAAGCCGCGTAGAATTAAACAGGGGGTCCCCCAAGGCGGCGTACTCTCCCCGACACTGTTTAATCTTTACATGGCCAAACTCCCTCCGCCGCCAGCAGGAGTAAACTTGGTAAGCTACGCCGATGACTGCACAATAATGGCAACTGGCCCCAACATAGACAGACTTTGCGAACAAATAACCGACTATCTCACCGATCTTTCCAACTTCTTCACTGCAAGGAGCCTCCAAATCTCCGCCGCAAAATCCAGCGCCACACTTTTTACAACCTGGACCAAGGAGGTGGGGCTAGAACTGGACGTCTTCGTCGATGCCGCCAAAATACCGACGACTAACCACCCTAAAATCCTAGGAGTGACGTTCGATAGCCTCTTCTCCTTCTCCGCGCACGCCACAGCCACATGCAACAAACTGCGAGCCAGGAACAAAGTCCTAAAATCGCTAGCCGGCAGCACCTGGGGAGCCAATAAAGAAACCCTGCTCGCGACCTACAAGGCAATCGGCCGGTCAGTGGCTAACTACGCGGCACCAGTGTGGACGGCGGGGACAAGCGACACCCAATGGAGGAACCTCCAAACCTGCCAGAATGCAGCTCTACGTACGGCTACAGGTTGTCATCTCATGTCGTCCGAGCATCACCTACATGAAGAAAGCCAGATGCTGGCGGTGAAAGAGCACAACACCATGCTGTCGAAGCAATACCTCGTAGGCTGTCACCGAGGGAATCACCCCAACAATGCCTTGCTTCGTAACGAACCGCCCCCACGACACGTGAGACGACACCTGCACGACTGGAAAGCGGACATTGAGCCGTACGTAGACCATCCATTCGACGCAGCAACATACAGAGCGGCGCTCAACAGCCTACACAGCGATGCGGTCAGAACGAGCCTCAGTACGCGTAATGACAACATCGTCTTGGGCGGTCGACCGCCGCCCATAGATCCAGAAGAAATAGAGCTGCCGAGAGAGACCAGGTGCACCCTAGCACAACTCCGTTCTGGGTGGTGTCACCGACTCAACAGCTACCTCTCTCGGCTGAACACACAAGTGGCAAACATATGCCCTGCATGTGGGCAAGGTCCCCACGACACCCAGCACCTCTTCACGTGCACCTCCAACCCTACGACCCTGACACCAGAAGCGCTCTGGACCGCGCCTATCGACGCAGCCCGCTTTCTCGGCCTCAGGCTCACAGAGTCGGAGGATGAAGACGACGACACATGACAAATCGGGGGGGTTGAGCACTGCTGCTACAACGACAACAACAATAAGAAGGTTATTGCATTCGTCGATTTTAAGTGAATTAGCTCCAGTAGTTACTGATTTATCGCAATTTTCGTGTTTCTGTAAATTACCGTTAGATTTTCAACAGATTTCTTAGCCAGACCCTACTCAATCTCCGTACCGAGTTTGGTGAAGCGGCTACTGAGATACAGCATTTTATCATAAGTGGGCGGTGCCACGTCCATTTTCCAAAAATTTCATTATAATATTATTTTTACCACAATTCTACTCCACATACTAATTTTCAACAAATTGCATCTAATATTTTCTGAAATAATGCAGTTTTTGCATTTTTTGAAAATACCGTTATATGGGAAGTGGGCGTGGTTACAGTACCAACCTACCTTGGATAAGGGGCAACTTACATACCAAATTTCGTTGATATCTCAATTTTTGGTCGAGTTATCGTGTACACGGACAGACGGATGGACAGACAGACATGGCTTAGTCGACTTCTCTTTTCATTCTGATCAAATATGTATACATTTGTCCATAACTATCTCGATTCGTTTTAGCTGTTACAAACAACCGTTATGCGAACAAATATATATATTAATATATAATAACATATAAATATATATTAAATACCCTTGTGCAAAAGTAAGCTCGGGTATAAATATAGAAAAAAGGTTTTTTCTTAACAGCAGTCGCCCCTCGGCAGGCAATTGCGAACCTCCGAGTGTATTTCTGTCATGAAATACAGTTCGGAGACCGCATAAAAATGAAGGTTGTTGTTGTTATAGCGGCATACAAGTTCCCCAAAGAGTTTTTGGGGAGTGTTGCTGGAGTGACAGTCCTTGGCCAAATATAATTCTGGGTCATTCCGGTTACGTACACCCGACTGTCGTGGGAACGGTAAAAATGTAGGCCCCTCCCCTTTGTGTGACAACATCAAGGCGCAGGCGACAAATCAGAGGAAGAGCTCGGCCAAACACTAACATATGTGCAATCGCCAATCAATTAATTAAATAGACAATTTCAAATGCCCTCCGACTAGGGACGTTAATTTTTCCGCTTTTTCTGATCCCGGGATTTTCGTGATGCCGTTATCACAATCCCGGGATAAGTCCCGGGATTTGGATATTTATTACTTTTCAACAAATTAAATCGATAAAATTTCTTCTATATTGTTTGAGAAGCTCTCCTTCCATAAAATAAATAATAAATAAATGGGTCCAAACCGTACTTTTTATTTTAAGTGGGGTTTTTATTTATTCTCTCTGAGGTCAGGATTTATTTATATTTAAAGAATTCAATGCAATGTAGAATAAAAATTTGGGCCACATGCAAGAGGAAATTTCTTTAGAATTCAGAAAAATTAAAACTTTTTGGATTCACAAGGACGAGTAGGTAATTTTTTTAGGTGATAAAAATAGGACGCAATTCGAGAATTTTATCGAGTTTGTATAAGTCCTTAACTTATATTTTTTTCATAAACAAATATTGCGAAATTTCAATGATAAAATCTTAAAAGGACATTTTCAATACTTACCAGTCCTTCTGCACCAAAAACTTGAATCCGTTTAAATTCTACAGAATTTCCTCTTTAATTTGATCCCATATTCTTCTCTAAGCAAATTTCTCTGAATTGTTTGAATTACTGACGTCAGAGTGAAAATCTAAAAACGGAATTTTACACTATTTGGTCCATGGTTTCGCGAATATATTGATATTTGTGTTTAAAATTTACTATCGACATTATAAAAAATATTAATTATTAAATAAAAAAAAGTGATATAGGCAATACTGGTCATGAAAAGAATTTTCTATTATTGCCATCCGTGCAAAATATAAATCCCGAAGATCCCGGGATTATTTGCCAAGAATCCCGGCATTTTGGGGACCTTCAAAAGGCCGGGATCCCGGGATTCCGGGATCGCAGGATTAACATTCCTGGCATTATTTTCTTCTCAGTAAATAAGTCCTTTTAAGGCCATAAATTCGTTAAGTTAGTTATTTGGGATCACCCTAATACACACATATGTATGCCTATATCTATCGCGTTTACTTTAGGCTGTTATAAACAACCGTTATGCGAACAAAGTTAATAAAACAGTGCGCGGGTATACAAATAATTAGGGAGCTCACAAAATGTTGTATACTGTCGTATAGTTGTGCATCCTAGAGTTTCACAACCATGGTAATAATGTTAAAAAAAATACGACCTACAACAATATGACAGTATAAAACATCCCTTAATATATTACACATTTGAAACTACCTTCAATTTAGTTGGAGTTTTAAATTCTTTTGCACACATTGTACAAGTGAAAACTCTATTTGAGTGATGATAAAGTATATGAGACGAAAGCGAGGTTCTTGATTTTTTCTCAACATTACAGTGAGGACACTTAAATACTACACCAGATGCTTCATCACGATGTGATTTCATATGCTTGCGCAAATTATGATCACTCTTAAGCCATTTATGACATACTGTACACTGCACCTCTGGACGTGGCTCCGTGTTGTGTATGTTGTCCATGTGATATTTTAAATTTGCCGTGGTTCTTAAACGTTTTCCACATATTTCGCAAACAGATTCAAATTCATTTCGATGTACAGCTCTTTCATGCTGAGTTAAAGTCCAGATGTTGGCAAAACTAAAACGTTAACATAAATATGTGGACAATTCAAGAAATAACACAGCTTACGCTTTATCGCACAGTTTGCACACGTGATTTTTAGACATATGACACATCTTAATGTGACTATCTAAAATGTATTGTTTGATAAACTTTTTCGGACAAAGTTTGCAAGCAAATTGAAGATTTTCAGCTGCTGGGTGTAACGAGTGCATATGATTGATGTAATTTTTGCGGCTTATCAATTGTTTTTGGCATATTGAACACCTAAGGGATGAACAATAGGCAATTAAACCGGTATACATGCATTAGCGCGGGTCAATTTGTATTTGAGATTTTTTTCAGCTATGCGCGTATAGCACAGAAGGATTCTACGGGTAATTCTAAGCGAATTTGGCGAATAAACAATGGGTCTAAAATCATTTTGGAGTTTGAAAATAGCGAAAATAGGTTTCTTAGCATTTTGCTGTAGTGTCGTAAAAAAGAGAAATTTTGTATAAAAACATGCTTTTTGGTATGAATAATCTATTTCTGCACTTATACTATTTTTTAAACTTCCACCAAAGTGCGAACAGTGAAAATTTTCAAATTTTTTTCGAAACCTATTTTCGCAATTGGTCGACCGCAAATGATTTTACACTCATAGGCTCTTCGGCAAATTTGCTTAGAATTACACGTTGTTGTTGTTGTTGTAGCAGCATATAAATTCCCCAAAGATTTGGGGAGTGTTGCTGGAGTGACAGTCCTTGGCCAGATATAAATCTGGGTCGTTCCGGTTACGTAGACCCGTAGAGTCCTTCTATGCAATACGCGCGTAGTGATATTTTCATATCGCTGGCTGAGTGGTAGATCGATCTATTTCGGCAGCCCATTGTAAAACGCCCTATCTCAGAAAATTTTCTTCAATCAAATTCTGAGATAGGGATAGGGATAAATCCATCTTCCACTCAGCTATGGATATGCAAATATATTTTTATACATACGTACGTACTTGAAAAAATCTGGATTCTTATGCAGTTGTATGTGATCGACAAATAATGTGCGTTTGAGAAAACGTTGGTCGCAGCAAACCGCATAGCCAGCGCATTTATGTTTTTGTCGAAAATGAGTTTTAAGGTCCTTAAAATCTTTCAACTTCTCCTTACAAATGAAACAATCTAACTCTGTGTTTTTCGCCAAAAATTCATCAGCCTTTTGGATAGCTTTTAATTTTCCACCATAATTGATGGAGTGCTCGGGTTTTTGCGCAATATCTTTGCTTTGAGTTTTCTTTTTATTGGCAGTCCGTTTTCTTCGCTCTGGTTTTTCTTTAATGTCGGTCTTATTTTTCTTTGGAGGGCTATCGATTTTTTTTGGGCGTCCTCTTCTCGCTTTTCCTTTGTTTTCAACCACAACATTTAATTTTTGCGCCTCACATTTATTATCCTTCGAATGAATGTCTAATATTTTATGGTATTTTAATTGAAATAATTAGATGTGGTTATATTATGCGTATACATATCTGTGTTCGTATGGAATAGTAGCTTATGTCGGGAAGCTGGCTTTAGTATTTATTTATTTATTTATTTATTTATTTATAATGCGGCATTCCCTTTATTCTTTGAATATTGTCTTGCTGGTAGCGGAACTACATCTTGCTCATTTATTTGCAAAGTTCTACAACGGCTCGGCGCCAGTGAGTCATTCGCAATTGTATGCTGCGAATGCCACATTATAAAGCCAGCCTTTCAACATAAGCTAATATTGCATATGAACACAGATATGTAGGTATATTGATATCCTCTGAAACGTTAAACAAGATCATCGGGTACTCTTTATGAATTTGTACAAAGATTTTGGGTTGCTGTGCCCAAACGCGTGAATCGAATCAAAAAACTTTTACACACACTTGTTGACAACAGTTCACGCTTTATTACAAAAATTTAATTTACTAAACTGTGCACTAATTTTACTATAATGTCGGTTGGAAATATGGTACTTGTTGCAAATTTTTGTTATAAATTTGTATATACATTTTTATATACAAGAAATTTGTATAAAACACCCAGTAACCAAAATAGACATCACTGGGGCGGCAGCCCCAGGTTTACCACACAGAAAGGGAATTCTAGTTACCTCATCCTTTCCAAGGTTACTGGGGCGGTACGCAGAAACGGGGGGGAGCCACGCCCATCCACCTCCGCCCCCACCCCTAAATCGTTGTACAAATAGCCAAAGATTTCCCTTGACTTACGCTTACCAAGTGAATCCATTAAAGGAATACTGAAATAATCATCACCCATCGTTGACTCATCCTCTTCGGTTTTAGCAGCCACAAACTCAGTTTGCCCTCCATACACTCCAAATTTTCCAAAAAAAATGTCTATTTCAGGCTCGCATAATCCAGTGTCCACTTTTTCGTGACTTATAGGCATTTCATCATAAGGCTTAGCTTCCGCCTCAACATCCTCGATATCGTGTTTTATTTCAGGCAAGTG